CATATCGTCTTTATTCATTCATCCATCGATGGACATTTGGACTCTTTCCATGCTTTGGCTAGTGTGGATAGTGCTGCTATAAACTTGGGGGTGCATGTGTCCCTTCGAAACCGCACACCTGTATCCTATGGATAAATGCCTAGCAGTGCAATTGCTGGGTCGTAGGCTAGTTCTATTTTTAGCTTTTTGAGGACCCTCCGTACTGTGTTCCAGAGCGGCTGCACCAGCTTGCATTCCCACCTCTCTCTCTTTTCATGACGGAGGTTTTGTTTTGTGTTTTATTTCATGTGTTTATTTCATGCATTTCATTTTGTTTTTGTTTCTGTGTGGGGTTTGTTTGTTTGTTTGTTTCGTGGGAGGGTAAATCTGATCCCTAATACTCCACCTTTGCCAAAGCTATTTTGATGTAACAGCTTCTGTCATATTCTGCATTCGGCACTGACCAACTTAATTCCCGCTCCAGAAAACACTGTACACCTATCCATTTCTCCTCCTTTTTTTTTTTTTTTAATTTTTTTTTTCAACGTTTATTTATTTTTGGGACAGAGAGAGACAGAGCATGAACGGGGGAGGGGCAGAGAGAGAGGGAGACACAGAATCCGAAACAGGCTCCAGGCTCCGAGCCATCAGCCCAGAGCCCGACGCGGGGCTCGAACTCACGGACCGCGAGATCGTGACCTGGCTGAAGTCGGACGCTTAACCGACTGCGCCACCCAGGCGCCCCCCATTTCTCCTTCTTAATGGACACGGCTTCCTCTCCTACATCACCTCCTCACCTGGCCTGACAACTTACAGGCATATATAAGGTGGTCTTTTCCTCCCCATTGGGGAAGCCCTCCTTCTAGCCCCTCCTTGCCCGTATAGCCTATGCCAGTTGCGTGACATCTTGCTCAGCTCTAGAGGTGATGTTTACCCTTCAGACTTAGATTATAAGATAATCCCTCCTCGGGCGTAAGGCACCCCACCATTACCAACACCACCACCCACCCTTCCTTAAGATTTCTCCTCCAAGGAAGTGGGAGTAGGTGAGATTGACAGGTGGGAACAGTAGTCTGAAGTTCTGGAGCAAGGCTCATGTCCTTGTCCCAGGAGAAAGAGCTCATCTGAAATAGGGGAGGAGAATAAGGATCCTCAGCAAAGCTCCTGCTTACAGCTCCTTTACTTAGAAATCCTTCTTGGTTTTTCTGGTTTCTTAAAAGAGTAGGGAAAGGCTTTGTCCTTCAGTGTCCCAGAAAACCTGAAGAGATCTGGGGCTAGACAGACATGCTCCCAGACCCACAGTCTCTGCACTGAAGAGCATCCATTTCTCCAGGTTGGCTCAACAGCAGGTAGCACCTTTTGTGTTTGGCCTGGAACTGGTCAGACAGTAAGCATCTGGAGATAGCTTGGCAATGCATTTGATCAGGTATGAAAGGGAAGTGTAGGGAGTCTGTCCCCATACCCTGTGGTTTCTCATTGCAGTCAGAACATGATCTTGCCCTGGTTGGGGTCATGTTCATATTTGGCTGAAAGAGGCTGATTCTTTTGTAGATACACCGTATTTTTAAATTTTTTTTAAAAATATTTATTTATTTAGAGAGCACAAGCAAGGGAGAGGCAGAGAGGGAGAGAGGGATATAATCCCAAGCAGGCTCCGTACTGCCAGCATAGATCCCCATGTGGTGCTTGATCCACGAACCACAAGGTCATGACCTGAGCCAAGATCAAGAGTCAGACGCTCGGGGCGCCTGGGTGGCGCAGTCGGTTAAGCGTCCGACTTCAGCCAGGTCACGATCTCGCGGTCCGTGAGTTCGAGCCCCACGTCGGGCTCTGGGCTGATGGCTCAGAGCCTGGAACCTGTTTCCCATTCTGTGTCTCCCTCTCTCTCTGCCCCTCCCCCGTTCATGCTCTGTCTCTCTCTGTCCCAAAAAAATAAATAAACGTGGAAAAAAAAAATGTAAAAAAAAAAAAAAAAAAGAGTCAGACGCTCAACAGACTGAGCCACCCAGGCACCCAGGTATACGATATCTTTTAAACTGTGAGTTGCAAGCCAGTAGTTTATTATGACATAAATTTAGGGGGTCACAATCAGCTTTCTTTTTAAAAATGAGAAGTGCATCCCATGTCATAACTATTACGTGTAAGTCTTGTTTTGTTGGTAAACATTTATGTGTCCTGGGTCCTGGCAGGGCACGCTGGTCTGCTGTCAGAACGGTGACGGCTCTTTGTGGTGTGAGTTGTTGAGCTCCAGTTTTACCCCCTCATGGCAGCACTGCAGTGGTGTGTGTGTTGTGTACATATCCAGTAAAGGGTCACCTCATACCTGTTAGGTTATTTTCAGTAATATGTCAGCTGACTTAAGGCAAAGCAGATTTTTAACCACCTCAGAACCTAAAGCTTGAGGGAGGCGGTGTGGGGCTGGTTCATAACATTGGGACAACTACTCTGTGGTACTCCTGACCTTCTCATGGTTACAAAGTGGCTGCCAAGGCTCCAGACAGCACATCCTCACATGATGGTGTTCAACAAGAAGGGAGGGCAGGAGCTTTCTTCCTGAATGGGTTTCTTTTTTTTACCCGTGAGGCAGGTCTTTCCAGCAGGGCTCCAGTAGACTTCACAGTTGATCCTAGTGCCCAAACTGGCCCATGTGCCCACTCCACACCAACCCTGGTGAAAGGCTTAGATTGATTCCAGTTCATCTCCTGGGCCATGCTGTTGCTGCTCCTGGAAAGTTGTTCAGTTGGAAAGAGGGATGGGAGTACTTGGTCTGGATTTTCCAAGGGTGTGGAATGTGCAACAGCCTGGGTTCCAGATGGCCCGCTAAGGTTTTTCTGTGTGTGTGTGTGTGTGTGTGTGTGTGTGTGTGTGTGTGTGTGTGTGGTGGTGTTGTTTTTTTTAATTTTTCTTTTTAATGTTTATTTATTTTTGAGAGAGACAGAGACAGAATGTGAGTGGGTTGGGACAGAGAGAGAGGCAGCCACAGAATCCGAAGCAGGCTCCAGGCTCTGAGCTGTCAGCACAGAGCCCGACACGGGCTCAAACTCATGAACTGCGAGATCATGACCTGAGACGAAGTCGGACGCTCAACCTACGGAGCCACCCAGGCGCCCTTCTCTGTGTGTTTTGTCCAGCCAGCCTTCACAGGCAGGGCTCAGAGGTCAGGGACCACCCTGTCTTCTAGGCTCTTTCCCAGGGGGCTTCCTCACCTAGTGATTTACATATCAAGGCTGCTTAGGAAGCCCTGGGGCTCTATTCAAGGTCTCCTTAAAAGAACACTGACCAGGAAGAGGCTGTTTCTGGTCTTTGGTCTCCTTCATAGCTCTCAGTCCCCATTGGGCTAAATGAAAGCCTTTTGCTGGAGCCAGGCCCCACTACCCACTGACTCTGGCCTTGGGTGAGTTAACTAAGCCTTGGAGTTGATTTCCTTATTTTTGTTGCAAGCCGTCTCGGTGGGTGCATGGAAAGGCTCTCTGGCTGGTCAAAGAGTGGATTCTGAGAATCCGGCTCCTTGTCTGCTCTCACCCTTGATGCGGGGTTCAGTTAGGCTGGGTTCCGTGTATGCAGTAGAGCCCACGGGGGATTGTCTACAGTGAAGGTGGACGCCTATTCTCCCAGCTACTCATTTATAGGAAACTGTTCAAGTCTTGTCATTTGTCACTTCTTTCATCTGGTGGTAGTTGTGTTCTGGTGGAGAGATGAGCTCCGTGTACGCCCCAGCTTGCTGGTCGTGGGGCCTCAGTTGCTGGCTGTGCACTGACCTGGCAGGGGTGGGGCCCCGTCCTCCCGTCTGCCTCATGGTCCTCAGCTCCCAGCTCTAGGCTCCCGGTGGGGTCAGCACCCGCTCTGCTTGGGACATCTGTCTGCCTTCCTGCTCCGTGAGGACAGCAGTTCCCGTTCCCGCCACTGCCCATTTCCTATTTGTCAAAGTACAGCTAGTCTGGTGGCTCTGATAAAGCTCTCGACTGCTCTCTGCTTCCCCGTCCCGCTTACAAGTCTTGACATTGTTTTTAAGTTGGGATTTTGTTAGGGTTTCCCTCCTCCTCTAGAAGTGGCCAAACTCAACAGAATTCTGTGTTTCACGGGGTCGCCTGAACGATGCTTAGAACCATGGAGCGGCCGGCCCCCCCCCGGGCCCCAGTGAGACCTGCTCTGTTATCTGTATGTCAACAACTGGCTTGCCCTTCCAGTCTGGGATGGACGGCTCTCCCTTCGGTCCCTCTGGCTTCCCAAGAACCCACCGCAGACGGTCGTCTTTGAAGGAGGGGCTGCAGGTGTATGTCCCTGTTGTGGCATTCACCCTCTGGCGTCTCCACCTCTGCAAGTCCCCCTTTGAATAGTGGCTGCCATTGTGGCTTGTCCGGCTCCCGGGACATGGGAGTAGTCCAATGAACGTGGCGTTTGGACTGCTAGTCTAGCTTGGCCAGGCGGCTTCCCTTCCCTCTGCCTCAGTTCCTTCCTCTGTGACACGGGGACAGCGCTGGTGGAGGATTGAGTGCGTGCAACGTCGCGCAGGAAGCCCTGCCCGCAGTTCGGCTGGAGCTGCCTGGGGGCCACCGGGAGAGGTTTGCGGTGGCTCTTGCACGGCCGCCTCTCCCGCCGTCCGACGCCCACTGGTGTCCTCCGGTTCGGTGCGGTTGTGCCGCCGCCCGCCATCAAGGAAGGCCTGTTAGCTCCTGGGCTGTGTGTGACTTTTAGCTGTCGCGTGTGCCTCCGGGGCCCACGGCGACTCTTAGTCCGGGGGCAGGGGTGCCGGGAAGCCCCGTCAGGAGCGCGCAGTTGCCCATTCTCACGCCAGGTAGACGGCCGCCTGCCTCTGGGGCCCGGCCCGCTGCTCGGAGGCGGGAAGAACATGCGCAGACCCGGGTGGAGGGCCCGTCCCAGCTGCGGAGGCCCCCGGAGGACGCGGGACGCCCTGCCGGGCCCTTCAGCGCTGGCGTCTGGGACGGCCACTCTGCCGCCGGCGTCTGACCGGTCGCGCCGTCACTCCTTGTCGCTCATGTTACAACTGCCCTTTTTCACAGGGATGCTTGAAGATGGAAAGAAATTTGATTCCTCCCGGGACAGAAACAAGCCCTTTAAGTTTATGCTAGGCAAGCAGGAGGTGATCCGAGGCTGGGAAGAAGGGGTTGCCCAGGTATGCTCTCGTTTGTTTTGTTTTGTTTCCTAGTGTTTACCTTTTAAATGATGCTTGTGGCGAGGACATTCACGTGGTTCAGAAATCAATGAAGGTATAAGTGGAAAATTTCACTTTCCGTCCCCTCACCCCCGCAAGTCATGTTACTAACGTTTTCTGTAGAGTTTCTTCAAGCACGTACTTTTTTTCCCCCCTGTGTACCCACACAGTGTTCTGCACTTTGCTTTTTCACTGAATCTCTCTTTCACGCTTTATATATCTGCACATAAACAGGGGAGGAGGCTCTCTTACCACATTCCCTTAGGTGGGTGGACAGTAATTGACTTGATCGGTACCCTATTGATGGTCATCTCCAGTGCTTTGCTGTCATAAACAGTGCCGCGGTGACCAGTCTTGTGCGGACTTAATTTTACATTTGTGTGAGCGTTGCCATAGGCAGACTCTCAGAAGTCGGGGTGAGGACTTCACTGGCTGTGCACGCTGTATTTTGACACTTTGCCGAGTTGCCGTCCGTAGGGATTATACCGAGCTGCCACCAGCAGGCTGTGAGGGGGCCTGTCTCCTCCCAGCCCCTCCAGCACAGTGTGTCGTTAAACTTTTGGATTCAGGACAATACAGCGAGTGAAAAAAAATGTGGTCTTGGTGTGGTTTTAATTTGCATTTGTCTTATTATTGGCCCTGTTGTGTCAGACCGCTTCCGAGAGGTCATACTCCTGGAGAGAGTCATTTTGTTTGTCTTGAGTCCGTTTCCTCGGCCCTTCCTCGGCCCTTCCTCCCCGTTAGTGTAAACAGCTTTTGTTCTGCCAACATGACAGAGGGGACCCAGGGTTGCCAGATTTCAGTTGGGCTCTAGCCTTCCATCGAGCCCAGCAGGTTTTTTCTCGGCGCTGACCAGGTTCCAGCGTCCTGAGACTCGGGGCTTTAGGTCAGCCCTGTGTCATAAGTAATTAGTCTCTTTCCTTCCACCAGAGAGAACTGAAATGTAACCAAAGTGGAGAGAAAGATTTCTGTCTTTCTCTTTTCCAGAATACACACTGATTTATCTCCAGATGAACTGTTTAACCTGCAGAAACTTTAAGCCACCCCACCCCCCAAGCGTCTAGATTTCTGTTCCTGCAGGGCAGAGGGTTGGCAGTGCGAGAAGGAGAGAGGATCTTCATGGTTTACTTCCCTTTGGAGATCTCTGTCCCCACTGCCCTCGTCCGGCTGGCTCTTGGTCTGTAGCCCATCCCCCAGCGACCATGCCACCCATTGTCCACACCACAGCCATCTTCTGTGGCTGTTCCGGCACTGGAACAATAACTGCGTTGTGTTCCAAGAGCCGTAGCTGCCCCCGAGATAATGTTATCAGCCTATTTATTTTACATCCCAGGCTTGGTGAGACCTAGCGGGCGTTGGGGAGATGCCCAGCCTCCCCCTGGACCCACAGCTCTGTCACTTGTGAGAAGTCTGAGTGGTCTGAGACCTGCATAGAGCATCTTTGAAACTCCACGGGGTATTTGTTTGAGTGAGTTAAAAGCACAGGAAGAAGGGGGCTTATCTTGTGCCCCTTTTCCCTTTCTTCTGAGATCGTTGTTTTGCTTTTACATGTTTACAGGTATGCAGTCCTGCCACAGGTACTGCTTTGGCCGCTTGCTTTTTTTCCTCTAGCTGTGTCTGGGCCATCTTTCCGTGTTAGTGCATTTAAGGCCACTGTGTTCTTTGTGGTGGCTGACCCATGTTGCAGATGTGCCAATGGAACCACTCCCCTTATAATGAGCATTTCGGGTTGTTAGAAGATTCTGGAAGTAGAATTGCTGAGTAAAAGGACATGATCTTTTTTAAATTTTTTAATTTTATTTTAGAGAAAGAGCGTGAGCTGGGGAGAGGGGCAGAGGAAGAGAGAGAGAATCTCAAGCAGGCTCCATGCTCAGGGCAGTCTGAGGCAGGGCTCGATCCCACAGCGCTGGGATCATGACCTGAGCTGAAATCAGAAGTCAGATGCTCAACTGACTGAGCCACCCAGGCGCCCCAGGACACGAACGTTTTGAAGTTCATTAGATTAAGCCATAATGCTTTTAACTACTCTTATCACCGTAGTTCAGCCTGTCCTGGTGTGCCGAAGGAGACGGGAACACGGTTTCTGAGTTGGGTCAGAGGAGC